AGGTGGTCGTGAGTTCGATCCCTGGTACCGATAAAAAGTTAAAAAAAAATTAAATTCAATTTTGTTAATATAGTAGATCTTTATGAGAACACCAAAAGACTTTTCTGTTCAGTGCTCCAATTATTCTACTATTTATGATGCTTATGAATTATGGTGGTGGTAGAAAGGAAACTGCGAAGATAAAATGATATTCCAGAAAAAAAATGCACCAAATGTAAAGTTCATATCTCAGAATCACGCAATTTACTTGAGGGCTGCCAAGATAATGTGGCATATGGCTACAGTAAAACATACAGTACTGCACAGTATACTGTACTGGGGAAATAAATGAAGATGAATTTGGAAGAGTAAGAAGGGGTCTTTTAGGGAAGGACTAATATACTATACTTAAGAGCTGAACTTTATATTAAAGGCAAGAGAAAAGCCACTGAAGAATTTTAGATGAGAGACAGCTGCAACTAGATTTTTTTTCTGTTTTACATAACAATATAGGGCAAATTAGATGAGTGAAAGTTTGGAGATGTTAAAAATACAGGCCTAACCCTTAATGGTCCAAAAACACTGGTAACTCAAAGAAGTTTTCCTCTTTAGATTATCACTTGAAAACACAAGAAGGACTAGACTTGGCAAAGTTAAATAAACATATCCATAAGGATTTCCAGGCTTAGCAACTGAATAAAAACAACGTCTTAAAGAATAGAGGTTTTCTGTTTTTGGTTTTTCATCTTTTTAAGACAAGGTTTTGCTATGAGTTCCTTGAACTCACTTTGATTCTGGGTTGGCCTTGAAATCTTGAGGATTCTCCTGCCTTGGCCTCCTGGGTGCTGGGAGTGCTGGGATTACATGTATGCCCAGACCACACCTGGCAAGATTAGAGATTTTTAATCCCTATTATATGTAAAACGCTTTCTAAAATCCAACTAGCAAGACCTCCTAGATCTTGGAAATAACAGAATGTAATTCAGAGAAGTGAGATGAAAGTAAAAGAAAAAACGGAGAATAAATTTTTTGCACCTATGAGTCTACTACACGAGACTCATATCCCTTATTAAAGTAATTGATAAACAGGCAGCAGAACATAAATTAGAATTGAACTGTGTATCTCTGAGAAAAATAAACTTTCCAACTGAATGGTACCCATGTGAACTATTAGACAGTATTATACTGTTAGAATAACTTTTATAGTCTAAAAATTGAAAGTATGAAGCCAGCGTGGTGGCACACACTTGTAATGCTAGCACTTGGGAGATTGAGGCAGGAGAATTGTTACAAGTTCAAGGCCAGCCTAAACTACATAGTGAGACCCCGTCTCAAAATGATAAAAAATTAAAAAAAATTGAGAGTAATAATTTATCTATCTCATGCACTCACAATGTATTTGCAAGTATACAATTTGTTTCACATATATAGTGATTAAGACATTTAAAATACATATATACACAAAGGCATACATTTCACCAAAAGTAAAGCCAAATTTTTTAGATTTACATATAAAGCACAAAAATATATGGAAGTTTCCTAATGAAAGCCAGTAGTACTAATTATTAATAAGTTATTATTAGTGTAATTCACATTTATTGTCCCTCAAATATATATTGTTATCTCTACAACCTATCCAAGAGGTAGACAGAAGCTGGAGTAATAATAGCAACAATATACCATAAATTGAAAGGAAGTTATGTCCTAGTCTTCATCAACCCCTTCCCAACTCCCATCTGTAAAATAAATGAGATCTTTGATTTCACTGAAAATTAGTATTTAAAAGTGGAGTCTTCCTGCTACTGGACAGATCACTGCCTACTGAATTTTTTAAAATTCTTTGAAATAGAGTAAATATAGGTTAAAGAAACTGAATGCTATTTGAGTATAAAACACATCCAATCTGGTCTAGAGCTATAAATTGGGTGCCACAGATTGCTGAAAATAATTATAAAAAACTTAAATCCTGAGGAAAAGTCTAATGCACTTGTTAAACTGTTGTAAGTCAACTGTTTGTTACATGAATCTTATAAAACATTCAAACTGTTAATATATTTTGCCTCTGTAGATCCTGTTTGTGTTTCAATTTCCATTTGAATAGGACAACCATCAAAGTTTCTCAGTTTTAAGACAGTTCACTGAATTTAGTCCTTAAAAATACTATCTATTGAATTTTAAAAGCTTTATTTAGAAGAGGTGTCCATAAACTTAAAATCTTGTATCATTTACTTTTAATAGAGATTAGAGCCTCAACCCTAGAGGCATCACAGGAAATATTTTGAAGGCAAATTATGGTGAGTATGTAACACTCAGTCTACTTTTTATAAGTATTTCTACTAATGAAATATTTAATTTTATGAGTTTTTAACAATGTATACTTAATAGAAAAATACTAGTAAAATATTAAACTTTTAATACCTAATAAGTGCTTAGAATGAACACATTTTCAATGTCAACTGTTTACTTAATGAATCTAAAAAAACCAGCAGAAATAAATTCCTGTGTGAACTACAATGGAAACACAAATAGAACTCTGAGGGTTACAGATATAGCTCAGCAGCGTAAGTGCTTGTCTAGCAAACACAAGGTCATGAATTTGATTCCTGGTAGCCTCCCCACACAAAAAAAAACTCTGCCACAAAAATCTTTATTTCAATTATGACACCTAATACAGTATTCTCACATGAGAACAGCATGTTCCATTCAAAACTATTGCTTACACTGATAGCACTTACGTTTTTTTTTTTCCAGTTGACATCTTGCTGATCTTCTTGTTTCTTAGGAGGGTCTTGTGATATTTCACCTGTTTGCTAGTCTGCTCCAGAATGTTTTTGCAGAGTTCTCTGGGCAGATACATACTGTTCTTCTTGTGTTGTAATTGATTATTTATCAATTTCAGTCCCAATTTTCTAACAAAAATTCTCCATATTTGTGCTTGTCATTTTCTTTGTAAATTATGAAACTAATTATGCCTGATATGTTTAGGATCTACTAAAACATAACCAATCTCAAAAATTTGTGTTTTGAGTAACAGAGTTGCTTCAGAACTCATCAATATCTACTCTCCCTTTCATTTTGTTCTAAAATGTGATAATTTCTGGCTTTATCTGTGAAGATTCATTACCAATCTTTTTGTTTGTTTGAAGACAGGTTCTCACTATGTAGTCCAGGCTGATCTTGGAACTCACAGGATCCTCCTGCCTCAGTCTTTCAAGTGCTGGGATTAGAGGTGTGCACTGCTATGCCCAGTGTCACTATCTATCTTATCATCATGGTATAGTATTAACAGCATCAATACCACTTTGCTCTCCTTTGCCATATACAAGGCCAACGTTATGTCTTTCTGAAATCCAAATACTGCACTATGTATTTCTGTTTTGTGAACTTGCAAAGTATTTTCAGGAATCTTCACTTTATTCTTGTCAATAGTGCCTGTGCTGGTCAACTAGTGTTTCTTCAGCAAATATATATCAAAGAGTAACTAGTGAACCAACTGTCAAATGTGATAGTTATTTGTAGTGTTTTTGCATTTCGTTTTCTTATTTTTTGGGTTACTATTTGAATAGGTGTGACAAGCCTTTCACAAAGTCATATATTGTTACTGCATGAAGAAAGATCTTGTGGCTGAGTTCCAGGATAAAACTTCTAAATTCAAGGAGTACAATGTCTTCACATCTACCAAGGCACCACTTTTTTTTGAGACAAGGTCTTGCTATGCAGTTCAGGCTGGCCTTCAACTCACTTTGTAGCCCAGACTGGTCTTGAACTTGCAATGATCCTCCTGCCTTAGCCTCTTGAGTGCTGTAATTATAAGCATGTGGCCTAACAATCTTACCAGGGCATACATTTTTGTATCATATTTGGTCTATTTAGCATGTATTGTCAAAAGTTTCAACAAGCACAAAATGATGCAAGTTGTTCGTAAGCTGTCACATATTTGGCAACAGTTCAAAACCTTTCAAAAATGAATGAACAGCAGCCAACTTGTCTAATTTCTTTTCTTCTTTGGTGGGTCTTGTCAAAATGTAAGCAATTTTAAAGGAAACCAAATGTCTGGAATGTCATTACTGTTCTAAAAATCTCAACATTGCATCTGTCATTTTATAAATCCTTTAGACTGTGAGGAGTAAAATGATAAAGTCCTGCTATGAAGGCTTTTAAGTTCATATGAGTGATAAACATATTTTTAAGATTGTTATTGATGCATACAAAATGTTTTACTTTTATTTCATTATTAGTATTTAAAAACATCTTATATCATATCATCCATTACAGACAATTTCAAACATTGAATTGTGGTATTGGCTTTCATCCAATAGGTTTCAGCCCTGGCAAGAACCTAGTAACATTTCTGGAACTAGTTCTAATGTTAGATTGTTCAAGTATACATGACCATTTTGCAGCAGTTTGAATAATCAAAAATATTTATTACTTATATTTATATTTATTATTTATATTACTGTTTCCTTCCTCATCTGAATCAAGGTCTTCATTCTGTACTTCTTGTCATAACTTGCTAACTTCTTTGGCTTACATGATCCAAGTCATCAATAGTAGCCAAGTAACCCATCGTCTTTCAGTCTCCTTCTGAAGTTGTACAACTGAATTTTCATGCAATATTGTACTAAAATATTGGGCTAATTCTACAAGACAAATTCTGTAAGACAATATTTAATAAAGTTATAAATATACAAAATATGAGTGCATAACGTGGGTAAAACTCACCTGTTCGCATTTTGATATATATACACTCTGCTGTTTGTCATGTCAAGTGAGTGAACCCAAAGATTGCTTCCTGTAGTCCCTCAGTACAGCTAATGAGATGCAAAGCCAACTCATTGTGTTAAAGTACATATTTTCATTAGAAAAGTATGGTATAGGTATCTGCTACCTGAGTAAAGAACCAAGTTATAAATACACAGCTTCTTGCTTCCCTTTTAGTATTTTCAAACAACTTGAAATGAGATAGGGAAAAAAAAAAAAAAAAAAAAAAAGAAAGAAAAGAGGCATATTGTACTTACTTGAACCTGGCAGGTGAAAGTGGAGTAGGAGGAAACATTCCTGGCTCAAAAGAATCAAAATAAGTCACTGTCCAAGAAAAGCTACAACACGAGAACCCAGCAGTTAGGGATATTATAAGCAGAGTCCAGAATCCTTAATGAGAAAAGAAAGGGAAAAAGTATTAACACTAAAACAATTTAAACTAGTGTCTTCATGTTCAGAAGATCATGTGTATTTCTGGCCTTCTGAATATTATGTAAACAACATCACAATAAGACATCTAAGTTTAATACAAACTGACTTTGTACTTCTAAAAGTATAAACTATTAAAGCAAAATGAAAAATCACATCACTAAATATTTTAATTAAATTTATAATATGTGGAGCAAATTCAATTTAAGAATATTTTATAAAATGCAACTACAGGAAACACGGTTAATACTTTTCATAAGGAATCTTGACAGTTTTCATTCCAGAATCACACTGTTGTTCACTACTTAGTATTAAGTGATTTCCTTTCATTCTACATCATAGGACACATGAATCAACTGCGGAGTAGCTATTCCTATGAAAATTATAAACAATCTGATTTTTTGGTAGGTGGCACTGATTGTAGGGCTTTGTGTATGTAAGCAAGTACTTTTCATTGAGCTATATATCCAGTCTTTTCTACTTTGTGACAGGGCAAAACTTAGTTGCCTACAGACTGTCTTGGAACTCTGGGTTCTCCTCAATACCTGGGTCTACAAGTGTGCACCACCAAAACCAGTTCCTCATCTTATTTACCCCTGAGTTGGGATCCCAGAGCCTACCCACAGCCCATTTTGCAACTGTGTATTTCTCCCACAGAAATCAAGTCAAAAGCTTGGTATTATAGTGAACTCAACGGCAGGTTGAGGAATGAAAGAGCAGAGGCATAAATGAGGCAAAGACATAAAAATAAATTAATTTGAAGATTTTCAGATACTTCACATAGTACAGTTAAGGATATTAAAAGGACAATGACCTGTGCAATGGTTTACATCTGGAGTGTCCCCCCAAATCTTCATGAGACTTCTGCCTAGAGTTACCCTATGATGGATTAAAAATAAGTCAAAATAAATCCTCTTTTAAAAGTTGTGGGTATTAGTACTGTTTCAGCAACAAAGTGACTAAGACAGCTTTTTGTTTTGGAGAATCTAACACCATGATCAATGGCCTCCTACCTTTAGAAGGAATAAGTGATTTTACTTTGGCAAGTTTCCAAACTTCAAACTTCATTTATTCATTTACAAAACAAAACACAATGAGTGACTTCCATATGTTTGTTATTATATTACATGATAGGCAAAGGGTAGTAAATAAAATAGAATTCACCAGAGTCTTTATGGTGTAATTCTGGGTAAGAGAAAATAAGTGTAAAAATAAATAACTATAGATTGTGATAACTATTTTTGAAGAAACAAAAAGTTATTTTTCTCAGGAGGTTACATCAGAATTCAGACTAAGAACATGAACTTTTTTTCTTGGACAGAAAAAAAGCTAACTCTAAAGTTCACATGATAAATAGTTGCAGTCAAAGGAAGATTAATCCTCTTTGATATTGAAGTATACTGTAGGACCTCAATATTTTGAAATAGTTGATACAGTACTGATAAATGAATAGATCCCCATATACCACCACCCCCCAAAAGCAGAATAGAGTTTAAAAGACAGGCTAACTAGAGTCAATTAAGCCAGACATGGTGACTCACATCTGTGATCCCAGCACTCAGAAGGCAGAGGCAGGACGATCGTTGCGAGTTCAAAACCAGCCTGGGCTACAAAGTGAGCTCATGGCCGGCCTGAATTGCACAGTGAGACCCTGTCTCAAAAAGATAAAAATTAAAAAATAAGAATAAAAAACAGTCAATTATGGTCAGGGATGGTGATGCACGTCTGTAATTCCAGCACTTTGGGAGACTACAGCAGGAGGATTGCCAATCTGAGACCAGGGTAGGGCAAATTAATGACTAGCAAGAACCTACCTCAAAATAAAAAGGAATGGGGTTGGTGATATAGTGCTTTGTGAAAGCCTCAGGTTCAATCCCCAGTACACACACACACACACACACACACACACACACACACACATTTTCTCATTCAGTGAAGACATCACATTAGAACAGGAAAAAAAAATTTCATTCATATACCACACTTTATCATTCTAAATCACAGAACAAACCAATGACCTAAATATACAGGTTGCTAATTCAAAAACACTTATAATCTAAATATCAAGATGTAAGGAACCTCTCACCATCACCCCCCAAAAGATGGAAGGAATCACTGGCTAGAAGTCATTAGCCTTTCCCAGAGAAAAATCTTTTTAACCATAATACAAAATTCATGAGCTACGTTAAGATCTACAAATCTGATGGGACTTCAAAACAAGATATTAAATCAGCACCAGCTATTAGGTTGTCTTGTTTTCTTCAAAATAGCTGTATATATCATCACAGACAATAATATCAAACAGCCCAGAATAAAACCATTCCAATTAATGAGTGAAAACTTTATAAGGCTGTTGTTCTTCTGTCTCCATTGCTTTTATCATGTTGTATCTTATTGGATTTTATTATATGTGATAGTATAAACAAAAATTTTTAGTGGCAAAGAGATAACATAGAAATCATTGTTCATTTTCTGTTAGCTGGTTCTAAATACCCTGCAATACTTTCACTCTCTTGAATCGTTTCACACTGTCTTGATATGTTTGATGCTATAGTAAGCTATACTCAAATATTTCAAGGAAGGAGACACTATGGTAACTACTATGTTGGGTTATCTTGTGGTGAAATACTATGTTGCTTAAATTGTTCTGATCTGCATTGTTATGTTGTTACAGCCTCTTTTATCTCAATCTCCCCCTTTTTAAAAAATTTATCTTTTTATTAGTTTTTTAATTAAGGGAATTTTTTTTTAAATTAGCAGGATATATTATAGTAACTTTTTTGATTTCCTATTAACTTGACTTGAAGTCCTGTATTGCTCTCACCATCTTGTTCTGACTGATTTTACTCTACTCTGTTCTGTTTGATAGTATCAAGTTTGAGGGTATAGGCAACTACTTTGAAGGCAATAAGATTCACTATGAACCTTATGCATTCCAGTTTGACTATTATCTTCTTTTGAAGTTCTGTAATGTCTCCAATGTTTAGATTTTATTGGTTTTGTTCTGTACTGTTTTGTTCAATTTTATTATACCTAATGATATAGGCAATTCTTTTTAAGGTAGCAAGAGGCATTATGGTAACCATTGTTGATTACCTTGTATTCTGTTTTTACATCATGTATTATGTCCATTCTTTGTTTTGACTGACTGCTTTGTTTTGTCACATTTGGTTTTATTCTCTTCCAAAAAAAAAAAAAAGTAATAAGAACTGTGGGAGTAATAAAACCCCAAATGTGTAAACATTATAGTAAAAAAAGAGAGGAAAATAAAGTGCTCTAAAGGATACAACTGCAAGTTTGTTTAGGTGTGTAAGAGTGATGACCATATCACTAAGTTTTTGTTGGATCATTGAACACAACTGTTTGCAGTTTCACTGTTTGAATGTCCACTTTGTATGCTTTAATTTTGTAACTTGAACAACTATTTCTAAGATGATAATATGTAATCTATTAACTAGTGATTTCTTACTGTTTATCTTTTTTGAAATTCTGTATTACTTGTACCCTTTTACTGTTTTTTTTTCTTTAAATAAAATTTTAAAAAAAGATCTACAATTCTAACAGGTGTACATGTACACAAACACAAAAAACTAAATTTACACAGCAAAATTAAATGTCAAATCAAAAGTATTTTAAATAAAAAATATATTTGCAATTTACAGGTCAAATTAATAGTAGGTATCATTTTTACCATTATCAACTGATAAAAATTCAACAGTCGGATAACATTCTCTAATACTGAGTCTGTGAATAAACAAATTCTGCATTGCTATTGAGGGAGTGAACTGGTAAACCTCCACGGAGAGCAATCTGGCAGTTATTTGGTGAAATGACTCATTAACATATCTTTTCCACACATACACCCATACATATAAAATCTATGCACAGTATTATTCTCTATACCATACCATTACTTATAAAGACTGGAAACAATCTAAACGATCAGCAATGAAGGCACAGCAGCACCCGTTAAATACAGGCCATAAGTTCCAAGACCCCCAGTGAATACCTGAAACTGCAGGCAGTACATATGTATGTACTGCTATAAGTCCTGCATCTCTTACACATGTAAGTTTAATTTATAAATTAGACACAGTAAGAATAATGTTAATAAAGTAGAACAGTTACAACAATTACTGTAACAAGTTTATGAATGTGGTCTTGTGTCAGTAATCACTTACCAGCTGACCTGGTAGCTAAAATGACTACTTAGTAATTAATGGGTGAATAACATATACAACATGAATGTGCTGGACAAAAGAATGACTCAGGTCTCAAGTAGGGTAGCTCAAGATTTAAAACAATGTCCAATTTGTAACTGCAGACGAGAAGGTGTTATTGTACTATGCTTAGTTAATTAAGTATATCTACACACTATACAGCTGTAAAAAAAAGCAATTTATTATTATGAAAAGAACTCCAAAATACACTGAACCAAAAGATGTAAGTTCTGAACTATGATACACTTTAGATAAAAAAGAAAAAAATAATGTATCATATAGATACATATGTGCATATATCCTATATATGGAGAAATGAATAAACATTATACTTACATATATTAATAAAATGGATTATTTGTGTTTGGGAACTGAACGATAAGCTTTCAAGGTATCTTAAAGAAAAAGCAAGCAAAGACAAAATAACATTTAAAAATAAGTAAATATGAGGCTATCAAAGCTTTTCAAGTCTTTGCACTTAATTATTTTAAAAGGATACCACCTGCCAAATTTTGAAAGTACAGACCAGTACTGTATTCTTGAATTTTTCAGAAATAACTACCATTGTACATTCTCAGTAATGCTTCACATTGGTCCTTTTAATTATTTTATATATTTAAACTAACCCAAAACTGCATCACTGATAATCATGTCACAATGATAGGCTTAAAGAGTGCATTGTAACATTGTGGTCTAGTAGTGCTTATATTTCTGGCAATTACTCAACTCCTTTATGAATAA